GGTAATTTGTCAAAATTTGTAAATTCCAATTTAATAATTGTAGGCTTATTTGTCTTTTGTGAAATTAGAATGACTTATTTGGGATTTTAGAATTCAATAGGTATTTATATGGGAATTTCCCAATAACTATTTAGCGTAAAAATACTATAAAATAAAACATCCATGGTATATAAGAGTAAAAAAAAAACTTTCAAATAATAGGTGTCCTTTATAAATACTTCTGAAATATTTAAGCAAATTATTTATATAAAAAAAAAAAGAATCTTTTCATAGTTAAGAAAAAGAGAACAGTAAACCCAGAAGATAATAAAACCCCTTCATAAATACTTCTGAAATATTTAAGCAAATTATTAAAAAAAATCTTTTTATAGTTAAGAAAAAGAGAACAGTAAACCCAGAAGATAATAAAACCCCACCTAACAACAGTTACATAGTTTTCATCTTCACTCCTCCGCCGTGAATTTAATAAAATTCCAACGGTCCCTGCAACCTTCGTCTGCTTTTCTGCCTCTGTCTTACGTATATCAGAATCATAACAGAAAATGAAGAACTGAACCAAGATGGTGCAGAAGAAGAACCAGAAGTCGAAGAAGAAGAAGAAGAAGAAGCAGCGATATAAATTTTCGGCCTCGATTTCGGCAACAGCCATTAATGAGTCGAACGATAAGAAGTTCAAAGCTTTACATATCGTCTTTTACTCCATTCCTAATTTCTGAAACGGTATAGTGCTCTTTTTTATGGCTGCTTCTATTCATTCATTGTATCATTCATATGTCCGTTGTTAAACAAATTTAAGAATCTACTTTTGTTTGGTGGTGGCAGAGTTACGGATTACAAACCTGACAATATATTTAGGAGATCATAATATACCATCGCAGTGAAATTTGCAGGTAAAAAAAAGCTTATTCATATGAAGGTCATGGTAAATAAGGTTAAAAAAGAAAGAGAAATTTAGTAGCTGGTGATGAACAGTAACATGCTTAACGATAAACGGTGAGATCATCCCAGAAAATGTGTGTTGTTGTCTCAGCTTTTTTGGTTTTGTTTTCCTCTCTGGTTTTACTACAGTGCCTTTCTTTTTCATTCCACTGAGATCAGTTCAACGATTACTTTATAAATTTAATGGAGAAAAGGCAACTGATGATTTTGCTGACAAGTCATTACTGGGTTTTTGATCAATCATGAAAAGCCAATCCCTGATGAACTGTTTGCTTCCTTTCCATCAATAATTCCCTGATGAGTCTATTGCGCTGATATTTCTGTGAACTCGATCACTCAGACAGAAGGGGTGTGGCTTCTTGTCCTTTGCCATGCTTTTAATAACTTTGACATGACACTTTGTTGTGGACGTTAATTACAGTGAAGGGTGGATTTGAAATTTTACATATTTTTAATTTTAATATGTTAACGTATAGTTTTAGTCTTTTTAACTTACAAAAAAGATAAAAGATAGGTGAATTTTGAAATTTCAATTTAGACCCTGATACTATTTTAGAATTTTCAAATATCATGAAATTACGCAAATATTCTTCACTATTTTCTCTTTTTTTTTTTTAAATATTACTACCTCAACACCCTTAGCTAGTTTCTAACGGCTAGAGTTTCGGTGCCAGCGGCCCTGCTAGTGGCTAGCTACAGAACTCCGATGATCGGTGGCCAGAACCCAAATGACTACTTTTTCTTATATATTCATTATTTTTTTAGCTATTGACTATATTTGTTTTTAAAAATTTGATGACTATTCTTGTTTAACTAGTGATTGCTCTAGTGCTGCGATTAACTACTTTCATTTTCAAAAATTTGGTGACTATTCTAATTTATTATTGACTATTTTTGTTTTAAAAATTTAAAAAACGCATTAGATGTTATTGTGGACTTAGTGACTATTTTGTATTTAGTTATTTATTATCATTGTATAATTAATAGCAATACAAAAATAGTCACTGAAACTTAAAAACAAAAGTAATTAATAATAAAATTAGAGTAATCAATAGTTATATAAAAGTAGTTACCCGGAGTAAGAACAATATTCTCATTTCATAATATTTTAAAATTTTCAAAATACTATAAGGGATCTGATTTGAGATTTTGAAATTTACCTACCTTAATTTGTCCTTTATTATTTTTGAAGATATTTTAATGTATTTTTTCATTTTAACCTTATGCAAAATTTTAGTTTGATCTTTTAATTCTAACAAATATAATTTTAGTCCTTAGCCTTAAAACTATAACAAAGATTGATGATATTGAAATCTTTTGTAATTTTGTGTTGCCGCGTGGGATCTAAGTGTTTTGTTCCCTGGTATAAATAATCGAAAGCGAAAACAAAGAATCGGATTTTTTTTTTCGCTTTTTCTTTTTAGGAAGCACATATATTCAGCCAGCAATCCTGGGTATCTGAATTGCCCTTTCATTTTCCTATGTGCCTATTTAAAACCCGAATTTCCCTTAAATAGACCCCAAAAGAAAAACAAAAATCACAGTAAAAAAACTCACCAAATCTTTAGATTGGTTAATATTATCATAGTTAATCATTTAAATTTGATTTTGATTCCTGAAATTTGAAATCAATTATTTTAATATCTCAAACTTAATTTCATTTTAGGACACCTAGATATTTTTAGTCAGTGAAAATAGTTAGATTTCAGGGGCCAAAATTATTAATTTCAAATTTCATAAATCAAAACCAAAATCGAATTAAATTTAAGAGATTTTTTAATTTCATGACTTTGTTGAGATGATGTTTCAAAACTTCATCATCATAACTTTGCGCAGTAGAAGTCTCAAAGTTTGGAGACAAATCATCAAATAAGGAAAGCGCTGTGTCCCTTACAAATTGCAGCCTGAAAGATCTAACAAGTCCCCTTGGTACAAATTGCAGATCAAAGATTCTCCCATTTAATTAATTTTTTTTTGAAAATAAAATAACAATTTCACTGACCAACTGGCCCTCTCCTGTGTACTGTGTCATCTGGTTTTATTTCAATGAAATTGAATACTTTCACCAAACATCTTCAATGAATTGATGCGACCACAACTTTGAGATTAAATCACACTGCCCCTGAATGGATACGTCAGTGCGTACCTCAACCACATGAAGTATTTATTGACGTCGTGGGAATTTAAAGACTTGTGTACTATTTGTGCAATCTGAGTTTAATTTGTATCTTGACGAAAAAGGCCTTGATATATGTATGTGATCTAACTTCTATTCATCTTGAATTTCAAACTAATAGGAAATGTTAAAAATATATTTTTTGGGATACGAGCTATCATCTTAATTGATAACTTGTTTATATATTTCCTCATATTTTATTTGTATGAGTCAAATTTTAGAAGTTATTTTTAGTTTTTTTATATATAGATCACTTTAGAAGATTTCTAAGGTATTAAATACTGCTCCAATCCTTATTATAGGACCTAATTAGAAAATTGATGTTAGTCCTATATATGAAACTTATTTCACATGTTTATTAATTTTTTTTAAATTAATCCTATTGATATTTCATTAACAATAGTCGAGTAGAAAAAAGAGATGGAATTAAAAAAGATACTTAGGGTGTTTTAAAAAAAATATCATCTTAATTAGTTTAACTTATATAATTAGTTAATTAAGTTTTACATTAAGAACAAGAGAAATATTTTTTAAACAAATTTAATGAAGATAGAAAGAGATAATTGAGATAGTGATAGAAATTCATGGTGAAATAGATAAATTGTGATATATATAAAAGATAGTTTTGGAAAGTTCTGAGGATAGCTTTTGAAAAATTTACGAGTGTCAACTACATTTTTAGTATGTTGAATTATTATTAAAAGTCAGATGGAGTTATCTATTTAATTGAAATGTATCTGATTACAATTAAGGTAAATTCACAAACCGTATAAGTTGGTACTTCGCATTAATATGGGATCTAGCTTGTATAAAAATTAAAAAAGGTCAAGTAGTTAAAATGAATAGCAAACACGACTAGGGCAATTCTTTTAAAGTTCTCATCTGCTTCTCTGTCGCACAATAGCACTTAGCAAAAACCAAGATAATTTCCCAAAAGCAACCAAGAAAAAGAAATGAAAGAGAGAAAGAAAGAAAGAAATATTCACTATTGGCGAGATTCTGGTTTGTGTAACTGCGCGAGGTGGACAAATCATATATTTACTTGGAAGAACTTTTACTTGTTATTTTGTAGGATAATTTAGAACTTTATTTTATTATTAAAAAACAACGTATAAAAGTTTTGTAATTGACCAATGACAACTTCAAATACGTCTCTACTCATAATCTCAATTTATTAAAAATTAACAAATACTAATGGCTTTCACACATCAATATCTCTAATTGTCACGTGATATCTACTTACATCAAGAGTATTTTCAACATTTTATCCCAAAAAAAAAGAGTTTTTAATTCCAAATACTATTCTTCCGGTTCTAAATATAAGACCCATTTTGTAATGTACTCCTCCAACCATAATATAGAAGAGGGAGGGGATATTAATGAAGATGATTATGATGTTTTAGAAAAAACATGTCATATTTCTTATAATTAACTAACTTACCTAATCTTCTTAATCTTATCAAATTGGTTAAATAGATCTTATATTAAGGACTGGAGGAGTAATTTACACTACAAAATAGATCTTATATTTAGGATCGGAGTATTATCTTACTCATGAAGCCTCAACGGCATTCTACCGTCTTCAAATTTGGGAATCTTTAATTTTGTTTATTTTTTATTTATTTTTTTTTCCCGTATGCCGCAGCTAAAGGTAGTCCCAAAATGATGAGGAGTTTTGAATCGGGATTTCTGGGTGTTTCAGATATATTCATTTAACGAAAAAACTGAAGTCAATTACTTTCAAGTTTTCCATACATGGCTGCAGAAATGTGCATAGCCTTGGGAATGTATTAATTTCTCAAGTCTTAAAAAATATTTGGTTCCTTAGCTATGCCAACGAAGGTACGTACCCATCGTATGTACAGTAACTGAAATCTTGGTTTCGAAACAGTGATTAGGAAGTCAACATCTAGAAAATGGAAAAACAAGATAATATTTAAGAACAGGATTTTAACTTCTGAGAAGTTTTACAATATAAACTAGATAACATCAAGGCTAAACTAGTAATTAATTAAAGACACAGAGAGAGGGAGAAGCTAGTGAAATGTAGGGTTAATTCTCTGAGTCACTAATGCCTAGTCCTAATAATAAGCTAATTAATCAATCCTACTTTAGCCTCCGACTCGATATTGGGGGGAAGTCAATACCCGAACCCAATATCCATGAAAGAAAGTGATACTAATTTCTAGCTTCTTCAATGGATACTCCAAGGTGCGTTCATTGACTTTCTCCCTCCTTTAGTTTCCCAGCTTTAATTATCTCCATTCTCTATATAATCTTCGCCCTAACAACCTGAAGGAGAAATATAATTCTCAAACAAATTAATCGCAGTTTATAGAAAGATATATAAAACATGAGTGATTATGTATTTCAAGATATGATGATTACCAGATTTGAAGAAGTAATTAGATTAGATGAGAGCAGCTTTGATCCTTTCAACGGTGCACTTAATCAAACTGTTAACAGTGGCGACTGAGCCCAGAGAGAGTTTAGCTGTTGGCACTGAGTCAACTAAGATCTGAAACGCAACAGTGAGAAGAGAACCTCCTGATCCAACATCAAGAATAGGCCCTCCTCCTCCTCCTCCATTATTGTTCAGTGAGGAGCCAGCAGGAAGAATGGCAAAACCAGAGGGCAAGAGGGCAACATAGTCAGGGTCTCCTCCTCCAAGCACTGTGTTCATGGCCACAATATCAACAGGAGCATATATCACATACGACCCCGTTGCGTCTGTGCAGCTCTCCTGAAGTATCACCATGTTGCTTTGGCTTGAATTTGCACTCTGCAATAACACTCACATGTTACTCTTTTCGAAAGAGGTTGTTGAAAATTGAGGCCACTTAAATACGCCTTCTAAGTACTTCATGCGATCCAATAGAGGACTTTGTATCTCATACTATCAAATCTCTATTAGATAAGCGGGATTGAATCCATAACCTCCCACTTATAGGAAAACTATCATGCCTTTAAACTACAAGGTATTGACTATGAATCACTGAATATGCTAAAAAAGCTAAGCTTCTTACATTGACACGGAGTAGAGAGACAAAATTGCCTGGATCACGACCATTTGCTATGTGAGCCATTTCTTGGACCATACCTCCATTGGATAAAATATCCCACTGAAAATTCAACAAAAATCTCCAATTTAAGACCAAGCACATGAGCTTACAATAGCTAGCTAGCGACCAAAACTAGCACCGATATATGAAGTAACTGTGTAGCAAATTAATTAAGCAATGATCTAAGTACCTCACTTCTGGAGTTTTCATCTCGAAGGAAATTGAAGACCCTGTTTGGAGGAACTGGAAGCCAGAAAGAAGTCGCAGCACTGAGAACTATACCAGGAGGCCTTCCTGGATCATCCATACTCTTTCTGGTCATTACCCTCACATCATCATTCCCTGTTGCTGATAGTGTTGTCCATGCATGTGCTGTTGAAGCCCCAACTCCGGCACAGAAGCTCATCACCATTCTCTCTGCTAGCTTCATCATACTCTTCCTTCCCTCAGAACTTGTTATCACTGATCAATCGTATATGTATATATGCACCATAATTCGAATCCATCATTATGAATTAGATAATAAAGTACCATACTTAAGTTTCTGTTTGTTTTAAAATGACAAGTCTCTCATACCACAAAGGTCCCCTGCAGGTATGTTGCAGGCCATAGAACTAGCAATACGTTCACATTGTCTATCTAGTGTGGCCACCCAACGTTTAGCTCCAAAGGCAAGGCCAGAATTGACAAGGGGTCTGTATATATTGTGCGTATTTCTGTCATCCACTTCAACATGTTCAATCCAAGTAACCTGAGATGCATTTATATTCAAATATAGAAGAACAAGACAAGTTAGAGAATAGTGGGAGATCACACACGCGCACACAGAGTAGCCTGAAATGTCACCTTAGAGTATCCATTTGGCAATTCTTGGATCAGACAGCCAGAAGGCCTTCTTCGGCTTTTAGATAAAGCAGTTGGTCGTATGTTGTCCAAGGAAACATCGACCACTGCCCATGTCCCATCTGCATGCTGCTTACAGTAGCGAACGAAGTAGTTCTCTCTTGTGGGAACAAGAGGTGAAGGGACTTGGAACTCGGCAGACATCTGTAATTATTAGAACAAACAGATTGTTTGATGAAATCAATGCTCGAATATATATTTATGTATTTTGTCTGCTTCGTTTCGATCCTCATCAGATTAAAGGAGAAGAATATAATTTTAAATTACCACTTGTAAGGCTCCATTATAGTTTCCTGCCACTCCAGTTGACAGGACTTCAAGTGTCATTGCTCTTGAAACAATGCCGCAAAACACTCTTGACCATTGATTCTGAAATCCGGAATGAATTAAAAAATAATAATATTACTAGCCTAACATTTAGGAAGCATTATATTTAAATTAACACGGATTTTTTTTTACATCAAATTGATGTTTTTAAGTTATTAAATCATTAAAGAATTAGATGGTGTACTTTGATAGCGACAAGTACTAACTATTATAATACAATAAAATGTGAAAATGAAATAAACACAAAATTACCACGTCCATGAGAATCTCAACAAGGTTAATATGGTTCATGATAACGACAGCGGACTCCCTTGAAGCTTCAGATCTTAATCCCAAGGGTTTAGGACCTAGGCCCCTGGGAAAAGTCCTCAAGTATTCCTCTTCATTCAGGACTTGGTGGGTACCAGAAGAGTGGTCATTAGAGATAACCCACAAGGGGTCTCCAGCCTGAGCCAATCTGGTGAGTTCCTCCATTGCCGCAACAGCAAGCTCTACAATCATGGGCTTGTCAGCTTCAGAAGGCATTGGTAGTGACCTAATAAGGTCACTGTTACTCACACTGTACATTTCCCCTATTGTCCCTGACTGTGACACAAAGTTACTGCCAACTCCAAGATCTTCCAGCGAGCGTGAAGGAAGGTGATGAGATGAAAAGTGTGAAAAAGATGTCACTGGCTTTCCAACGTATTTGGCCGCAATTCCTGATATTCTGTCTATCTGATTAAGTAGAAAAAATGGAAATGGGGGGGGGGGGGGGGGAAGAGGTCAGTAATTCAATTATCAGAAGATGATTATTATGATCTGATGATGTAAATTTCAAGTGTTAGTTGGAAATGTTAGACACCTCTTCTCTTAAGCGGGCATTCTCAATCCTGAGATGCTGCTCGTCAAAGGACATTTCACCAAGAGCTGCAGGGCCTCCACAGTTGGGGCATGAAGCGTTGCTTAGGGCGTCCTTGTACCTACTGTTCTCAGCTCGAAGCTTTTCATTCTCAGCCTTCAAAATGGAATTCTCATGGCGTTCATGTTGTGCCTATATGAGAAAGAACGATTATCAAATGAATTGTACATTGAAACCATCTAAGCAAGAGCTTCAATGTAATCCCTACTTTACCTTCATTTGGGTGCGCTTGTTTTGGAACCAAAACTTGACTTGCAAAGGCTCTAATCCCAGTTCACGGCTCAGCTCTTTCCTTTGTTTGTCATCTGGGTGGGGACACTCCTTGAAGAAACTGAAAGAGAGAATTTCACACAAGCAAAACACAATTATAAGCAACCAAACAAGCAGGATCATATTAGCTTGTAACTTCTTAGTGATATTGGACTAGCAAGTTTTGAGGATTCAAGCTCGAGTTGAGTCAAAGTCAAATAACACGTACGATTCCAATTCTTGTATTTGGCGCTGGGTGTGGCGGTGGTAGCGCTTCCTTTTGGGACGTTGGTCGGGGTCTTGGTCGTCACCTGAAGGAGCTTCCATGGTTGTTTCAGTGACCGATTTGGTCTCGTAATCGTCGTCATTGGTCTTCCTTCCCACTAGATCACTGTCCGATGACATCTTGTGGGACACATCAAGCACATTAGAATCAAACATGTTTGGCTGTTGAAACATTTTGCGACGCGCGCAAATCCCTAAATTCTAGAAGCTACGGTCTGCTCTTTCCAAGCTGTCATACATAAAGAAATTAAGTCAACCAAAAAGAAAAACACTATGTGGACGCAGGCTGAACTGAACAAGAGGGAAAAAAATTTTTTTAAAAAGAAATGTAAGAATAAAAGGGTGGCTTTAGGATTGGGAAGGAGTAAAGAAATCTAAAAGACTACAGGAAGATTTTGCATTGTATGGCAACAGAAGCTTAGGCTGCAAGAGAACCCATATATAGGAAGCTTCCCTTTTCCTCGCCAAAAGAAAACCCCACTTTTTCTTTATATAAACTTTTTGGTTATTTTAAGATCACAGCAGAAACAGAAATCAAAATATTGCTTCTGTGATTATCAACTATATTCATGATAAAATCCATAGTGAGAGATGTTTTCTCTAAGAAAACAAAATTCCCACCATATATAATGCTTCTGTATAGGTGAGAGTATTAGTTTTCGCGTCTATTCAAATATTTAATTCCTGTTTTTCTACCTTCGCAAAATTTAAAATCCCCGTACAACAGTGTACTATCATCTGTTTTATTAGGGGAAAAAGCAAGAGAGAACAGATAAGCTCACCTGAACGTATGGAAGAAAGATTAGTTAGCCTTGAAGATGATCGCTATAGAGAATCCGTTTTCTTTGCTTCAAATTCAGTGGCATGAATTTGCAATTTGGATGCATGTTTCTTCTTTCTTCTCTCTCAGTTCAAAGTGGTTGTGTCACTGAAGAAATCATAATACCGAAATGAGATGGAATTGAGAATCTGTGTCGAGATGTCTCTGGATCAACGAGAGAGGCTTCGAAGTTTGAACAAGGAAGAAGATCGAGCAAGTTTGGGCTTTTAGTTGTAAAAAGGGCATAAAAGACTTTTGGGGTTTTGTACTTTGCCCTTAATACTCTCTCTCTGTCTACGTGCAAGAAATTGGAGACTCTAAAACCCAAGAGGCTCATAAAATCAGAAAAGACAGCGAAAATAGGGTTGACATTGTGTCAAATGGTTGGCAACGCTCTTCAATCTCTCTCTTCTAGGGACTCTACAACAAGTAACGGAGAAAGCGGGTTAGAGTAGGCAGAAGTCAAACTGTGGAGAACGGTAGACCCAAAAAGGAACTGCTGAAAAAGAACATGCAAACAGAAAGACTTCGTAGGGTTGCACGAGGAGAAGAAGGAGAAGGATGCAGAAAAGGGGCAGAGAATAACCTTTTTGAATTGTGGGAAATAGGGAACTGTTCGTGATTGAGACGTTGTGGTCTTAATTATAACAAGGGCTTTATAGCTTTCATTAATGGATGGGGATGGTGTGGTGATGGCGGAGGAAGAAGAAGAGAGAGAAAGTGTGAGGGAGACGAAGAGAAAGAGGATGAAGAGATGAGGAAGGAGAAGAAGATGAATCGGTAGTGTGGAGAAGTTATTGCTTATTGAGACGGTTGTGTAATAGCATTTATGGAGGGCGAATCGACATAAATGCTTTAGAAAGAGAGAGAGATATGGAGACCATAAGATGGTAGGAAGAAAATATCAATTTATTCTCACCACTTCTACGCTACTCTTTTAATATTATATACAAGTGATTTCAACATATTTTATTAAAATAAAAAAATTAAATTTTATTAATTTTATCTTAAAATTTAACAAAAATAAAAAAATTAGTTAAAATTTTAGACATTTTTTAAGTATATTTTATATTCAAAAATTGTATTTTCTATATGTGGAGAGTCTACTACAAGACCTCACACAACTTGTGATTGAGCTATTGCATATTAGGCCTAGACATAGAGAATATATAACGTTTGTGTCTTTTATGTTTTTCCGTATATTGCATTTACTTTTTGACGAAAATTATCTATATATTAAAACGTGAATAACAACAATAGCATCAGTAACTTTTTAATCCCTCCCGTAAGAGGATTCGATGAAATATTTTCTGATAAAACCCCACATATACATATTGTTAATAAATGAGTTTACATATATTGTGGTGACACAGAAAGAACGTCACTTTTTACGAGTTAGGGCTACTCCACGTTTTTTATTTGTAATCAGACTTACGAAGTGAATGACCGATAAAATGCAACATCTTGGAAAAGCAGGGATGTTGATAACATACTTGCATCCTCTTGTGTATTATAGGGATCCAAACCTTATTTTTCTGAGCCTATGCAAGTAGGCAGAATAAATACTAGTCCTTAATATAAAAATTAATAGTTATTACAATAAATAGGTATTATTTTTTTTATAATACCCTTACTAATCATGTGTATTAGCTAGAATTATCATTTGACGGAAATTTTTAACATGTGTAAGTGTGTAACCATTATAATGACTTTTTTAAAAACAATAGATAAATATGATAAGTAAAGTGGATTAGAGTTTTATATTCAATATCAAATTAAATATCAAACTAGTTTTTATATTAAAAAACTGAGATATTATAAACTAATCAAAACATTCTAAATCATGTAATTAACGGAATCAACATATGACGTCGCAACACTTTGATCATGTTTTCTCTCAATCCGTAATTTTCTCCCGTCTGTGAAACTTTTGTCTCATTTATTACGGTGATCAGTAATATTTATTAAGCAGTGAAAATAGTAGCAGAGCAGGTGAAAATTTAAGGCTTTGGTAACTACAAGTACAAGTTGAGATTTTTTAAAATATAAACTCATGTGCAAGGCCAGCTGATGACTAAACCTTCTTGTAAAGCATGCATGTCGGCAAGGTCCAAACGAAAAAAGAACATAATATATGTAAAATTGATTTCAAAACTAATGTCCAAAGAATTGAAATTTAACATGAGAAAGAGGGTATATATAGATGGGGGAAAAAAAGTAGAAAGAGGGTATATACAAGTCCAAACAATTAGACAGTGTCTCATGTAAATGAGATTTTTTTGTATATATGTCATAATTACTAGCATTTTTTTATAAGCCTATATATAGTTGATCACTATATACTTTGACAATTGATGGTACAAGACATGTTATTCAAATGTTATTTATTTTATTTTCATCCAAATAATATTAAGTACAATTTATTTTGTTGTTTTTTGAATTGTATTTAAAGCTTTTTAAAGTTTGTTATAAGATATTTGTTGCAGAGTTTTTTTGTTGTTGCCGACTCGTAGAGTTACTGATTAGTATGGGAACACGAAAGTCAAAAGCATAAGATGATTTAACCACAGCTAATAATTCAATTTAACCGCTCTATTTTATGCATTCCTATTCTTAACCACAAGATGCTGATAATTCAATCATTTTCTGACCAGCTACTAATTAAGAATTAAATCATTATGTTTTAATATCTCCATTTTTATAAGGAATAAATAGCTACTTTTCATTATTAAGAAAAGTAAGTTAAAGTAGATAGACGTTTCAAGAAAAAATCATTAAAAAAGACTTTTGAAATAGAAAAATTGTAAATAAGCACATGCTACAATATTAGTATTAGTTTTAACAACAAATGACAACAATTTTGTGAGTGGGTCCTTATATGCAATTTTTCAATTTTTAAGATTTTTTTGTGATTTTTTTCAAAATTATTTTTAAACGCATAATAGAATTTTTTTAAAAAAGTAATACCCTTAAGAAAACTAACTGAAATGGTTCATTAATTAGTGGCTGTCTTTTCAACAATATTTTGTCTTCCCTCTTTAAGAAGGGTATACGTGAAAAGAAATAATAAATGTTTCAAATATAAAAGCAAATTGTTAACAAAATTATAATCACATTTTCCTTATAAAATGAATCGGAGGGAGTGTGTGTATATAAAATAAGCCGGTATATCAACTTATTAATCACATTTGATTATGTGGATATGTATATATGTACTTCACATAAATCAATTTCAAAGCGATGGTTGATGTGAAGAGATTGGCAATGAAAATAAAGAATAAATACCTACTTTTCAATATTAAGAAAAGCAAGTTAACGTAGATAGAAGTTTTGAACTGATTTTGAATAATTTAAATTTTATCGCAATGATAATAAGCATCATGGTCCAGATCTGGTATTGTGAGCTCTGTCTCTCAAGTCTCAAATGTTCCTGTGTTCCTATGTATATTACGATCGCTGCGATCTTCTCTATCATCAGTTTGAGGTGTTTCTATCCCAGCCACACGTTTTAATACTCTTCGGTCCGTAATATAGACCTAATTGTTGAGTTGATTTTGATCTTAAATATAAGCACTATCATATTTATCAATTTTTTCTAAATTACCCTTATAAATACTTTTTCAGTCATAATCAAGTAGAAAAGGAAGGGGGATATAAGAAAGATAGTTATGTGTTTTAGAAAAAATATGTCATATTCTTATAATTAACTAATTACTTAATTCTCTTAATCTAATCAAATTAGTTAAGTAGTCTTATACTAAGAAGATATATAATACGTAAATATAATCTATTAAAAAATTGAATTTGAAAAGTAGATAATTAATGAATGTAAGAAGTAAAGTAAAACAAATAATAATTTAACTGAAGAAGGGTAAAGAGTCGAGTAAGCAAAATGCTAAGGCCTAGGATCCTGTAGAGGGCATGGATAGATACCGTTTGATTGCGTCCTTACTTTGGAGTTCCTGCAACACTGCCATGAAAGCAGCTCATTATTATTTCCTACATGTTGCCCCCATTAATTAATTCAATAACACATGATGGAAAGGGATCAAATAGTGAAAATAAAAGTTTATATTTCTTTTTTTAGTTATTTTAATAACATTTAGTTTGGAAGAAAAATTAAAAAAAAATGCAGCCTGTGTAGAAATATTAAATCATAAAATTTTAGGAGTTTAGGCTGCAATACTTTATGTAAAGCATTAATTAATTAGATATGAAACGAACTTATTAAGTGGTAGAATGAAACGTGAATGATATCTTCAGAATCAGATTCTTTTGATATAAGTGTTAGAATATATAACTTAAATTTATTTTGGTAGTAACATAAAAGAAGCCCAATTCATGAACTAATTAATATAAAACTATTGCCACCGTTTTCTGAGAAGTACTAAACTAGTCCCAGTCTTTTCGCGAAGAAGCAACCCAAAATAACTACAAGGCAACCGTTTCCTTTGCGTAATTGAATGGTTTAAATTTGGATTGAAACAATATGTTTAAACAATATAGTTCTTGCTTCAATTAAATATTGTTCCGTAAGGATCTCATAAAACACTTTTTTTGAAGGTTTTGTAGGTTGTGAGCTCAAACTCTTTGTGAAGGACATATTGCTAGGTGCCTAATAAGTCATAGTAAAATAAAGAAACTAAATATTGTTCTGCTTACAAACAAAGCTCATCACAGAACAATATAATAAAATATCCTTTCAAATAATGTCAGTTACATTCCATGCATTGATCAGGCATGGCCTTTCACGGGAGAATCGTGAGCTTTATAGATATACAAAGGGAAGATCCTTTTGAGAGAGCATATAAGAGATATCCAGGGAAATTGAGATTCGCATCTTAAATTGAATAATGCAGATTTGCATTCATATTTCCATTGACCTATATCCTGGAACTCAAATTAAAGGCCTTTCTTTAATAGGATTGGGTAAACAAATTAAAATATCACTAGGAGCATGAAAAAAATAATATCAATGCGTCAATATAATGGTGTAAGTTCAGTAGGTGCATTCAGAATAAATTTCGCACCCTTCTCTATTTTCCTCATTAATTTGACTGCTGCGCGTTATTATGTGTGTTCACTATGGAAAGTACGTAATAAGTGGAAGCAACAGAGATAGGGTCATCATTATTTTTTCAGAATTACTCCTCAACTTCACGGAATGTAAAGATAGATGATCATTGCATATTTCAGAGTCATTTCTCAGGCATTTTCTTAAGGGTATCTTCTCGCACAACGAGAGACTAGGATTTTCTCCAAATTCTCTCTGACAATCGAAATCATTCGTAAGGTTAAGACAGTAAGGTACTGTGAACAGTGGTTAGAAAGAAATTAGTTAATTAGTTAACTTTGTCCAGTTCAGTAAATATCTGTGATATTCCTCTTACTTTACATGATTCTGTGAATAAAGTTATACGCATATATTGCATTATTTTCGTTTTATTCTTAAAATAAAAAATGATATGAATCGGCTTGTATATCTAAGTAAAGGTCGCTAGCTAATTTCAAGCTCCAACACGATACTTCCTTTTTTTAAAAAAAAAAATATTACGGAAGAGATAATTTATAAACAAGCACATTAACACGAGCCTTTATCTTCATTTAATTAACAGTATTTACAATACAAGACGACAAAATATTAAGGCCACAACTTCAGTCATCAATGCAAACAACTCCCTTTCTCTCTCACTCTCTCTCTCTGCATATATAGTG